TTTAGGGAGTCTATTCACGTGCGCCGTAAACACAGCCTTCAAGACCCGGCGGTGATGAAGACCAGGAGGAGGGTCACTTGGGCAGGAGGGGGGGAGGAGAAGGGGTAGAAGGGGAGGGAGGAGGGGGAAGGGGGAGAAGGGTTGGGGAGGAGATGGGGTTGGGAGGGAGGAGGAGGGAGAAGGGTGGAGAGAGAGTGGGACGAAGTGGAAGAAGGGAGATGGAGGGAGGGAGAGGAAGGAGAGAGAGAGAGGAGGTGGAGGAGAGACGTTGAGAGAGGGAGGGAGGAGAGAGAGAGATAATAAATGACACCGAAACACACACAAAAATGAGAGTAAAATCACCTTAAAAAAAGTAAACATAAGTAAAACGAAAAAAAAAAACAAGAATGGGAACAAGACAAAGAACAAACAAACCATTTTTCATACAGCCACACAAACAGACAAACAGCCACTCATCTAAACAGACAGAACATCCCGCAACAAATACACACAGACAGCCATAGTCATAAAAATAGCCAAGACAGACAAGGGGTCACTGTGACAGACACAAGTGCAAGGGTCATTTAAACCTGGGTCACTGTGCCATGCAGAAAAGGCATCAGAGCGTGAATTTCTCTGTCGCATTCTATCTCCGTTTAGCAGACAGATAGAAGTGCAAAGAGAATGAGACGGAGAGAAATAGGGAATAAAAAGAAATGGAAGAGAGAGAGAGAGAAATGACAAAAAGGAAAGGAATACAGAATACAAAATGGAAGAAAGAGAGAAAAAGAGATAAACAGAAATGAAAGAAAGAAAGACAGAATAAAAAGAAATGGGAGAGAGAGAAAGAGAGATAACAGAAAAGAAGAAAGAGAGAATAAAAGAAAGGAGAGAGAAAGACAGAAAGGGAGATTGGAAATTGCAGTAAAAAAAAAAGGAAAGGAAAAGAAAGAATTACAAAATAAAAAGAAATGAGAGAGAAATAGCGGCTGGAATCAACAGAAAAGATAGAAAGAAATATAGAATAAAAAGGATTCATCAGCTAAAAAAAAAAAAAAAAAAAAAAAAAAAAAAAAAAAAAAAAAAAAAACAGAAAAGTTGTAAAATCAGAGGACGGATTTGCAACATGGACTATCAACAGAGGAGATCCACGTTGCGTAAGGGCTGTTCCACATTCGGGGGAGGAAAGAAAGTAAGGTCGAGTAGCTAGCTTAAAAAAAATGGAATTTTGCTTTGTGAAACTTTTTTTGTTGTTCTTCTTCTTCCTTTCCTTCTACTGCTTCTTCTTTTTCTTCTTCCTCGTCTTATTATTATTATTCCTCTTCTGCTTCTTCCTCCTCCTTTTCTTTTCTTCTCCTCTTCCCTCCTCTTCTTCTTCTCTCCTCCTCCTCTCTCTTCTCTTCTTTTTCCTTCTCCTCTTCTTCTTCTTCTTTTTCCTCCTCCACTTTTTTCTTCCTCTTCTTCCTCCTCCTCCTCCTCCTCTTCCTCTTCTATTCTCTTCATCTTCTCCTTTAGCTATCAGTTTTCTCTTTTCCCTCTCTTCGTTTTCCCTTTCCGAATGTCGCTGAAATGGAAAAGCCAGAGTGGTTTCTGTCCTTTGCCTGGCGGATTTTGGCAACTATTTTATTTTTTATTTTTGGCATTCCATTTTCTTCAGTGTCAGTCAAGTCCAAGAAAATATTCCTATTGCAAGATCGGCTTCTCCCTCTCTTTCTTTTTCTCTTTCTCTTTCTCTGTCTATTTCTCTCTTTCTCTTTCTTTCTCTCTTTTTTTCTCTCTCTCTCTTTCGCTCTCTCTCTCTCTCGCTCCTTCTTTATTTCTCTTTCTCTCAATGTGTTATTCATTCATATACACTTGGATATACACAAACACATATGGAGAATATACATACAAACACGTACATACACGCACATGCACAAACACACACGCTCACACATATACATACGAAGAGAGAGTGAGAGAAAGAGAGAGAGAGAGAGAGAGGAGAGGAAAGAGGAGAGAGAGAGAGAGAGAGAGAGAGAGAAGAGAGAGAGAGAAGAGAGAAGAGAGAGAGAGAGAGAGAGAGAGAGAGAGAGAGAGAGAAAGAAAAGAAAAAAGAAAGAAAGAAGAAAAGAAAAAGAAAGAAAGAAAGAAAGAAAGAGTGAGTGAGTGAGTTAATGAGTGAGTGAGAGAGAGAGAAAGGGAAAGAGAGAGAAAAAGAATGATAAAAAAGAAAAAAGGAGTGAGTGAAAGAGAAAGAAAAATACATAGGATCATAAACACACATCTTCCACTCCCCAAACCACACTTCACCTTTTGCAAAACGAATTAATTATCAACAAACGCATGCAACCCCCCCCCCCTTCACCCATAGGCTCCCCTCACCCCCAGTTTTACAACTTGCCTAATAAAACACTCTAATACACTTAATGAGGATACTTGTTTTGAAACGTGACGTGGGTGTCGTGTTTCAGGATGATAAACATTAAAGCCCAAATGCAAAAAAGATAAGTTAGTGCTTGCCTAGTAATTATAAGAGAGATTTTTCCTCCACAAAAGCAGGTTTTGGTCTCCCCATGAACTAATTTTCCTAAACTACGTGACCCATTTTCCTACATCGTAAATTTTCTCTTTTTCAACACACTTCCCTGGTTCTAAAAGCCCCTTTCAAGCGGGAATAACGGGGACACAGGTAAGCACAAGCATAGTGGGCGATCTGGTGCTTTGTCCCAACATACGAATAACTCTCTGGCGCCACACAAGGACGTCCCGGCAACGCACACCCTTCTCCCAGCCCGCGCGTGGAACAAGGGGGGGTCTACTAAACACGCCGCTGATGTCACAGGTGATGGATGTCAAGCCGTGACGTCACGAAGTAACACAAACAGGCGTATTGCGAGAGCGCGTAAAGCAAACACGCCCCCAGGATCCCGCACCACAAGACGAGGGTGAATGTCAAAGCGTGAAGAGGAAGCCAGACTTGTGACAAGACGGGGGCTGAGATCCTGCGTTCGGCCCTGCACTTAAGGGCGATGCTGGCGAATCCTCTCGGCCCTTTTTCGGGAGTACAGCATATAAGGAGGCTCGTTGTGAGAATATTTGAAATTGGAGAGTTTATCACCTCTTTGTTGGGAGATCTGAAGGAATATTCACAGAGAGAATCTTGAGTATCGAAAATATTCGCAGCTTACGAAACTGCAGAGCAACACAATGCCCCGCCAATTTTCTGCTAAAGCACTCTGCACTCCGCCCAGAAATGGTGGCCTAAAAACGAACATATTTTTCTTTTTTCTCTTCCTTCTTTTTTTATTTCTTGAAGAGTGCAAACACCCACCGAAATCCGAAATGCGAGAAGGTCACATTCGAGGGGAAACTAAAGAAGACTGTTTGGAGGGGAGTTAGTAAGCATCTCGAGAAAAGAGAGGCAGTAAAACAGTAAGTTCTGGTCGCCCTTCTTGTGTGAGGGAGGAGGGGAGAAGGGGAAAGGGGGAAGAGGGAGGTTGAAGGGGGGGGGGGAAGGAGGAGGGAGAGAGGAGAGGAAGGAAAGGAGAAGGAGGAGGAGAAAGGGAGAGGGGAAGCGAGACCGAGAGGGAAGGAAAGGGAAAGGGGAGAGCGAGAGGATAGGGGAGGAGGGGAAAGAGCGAGGAGAGGGAAAGGGAGGGGGAGAGAGGGGGAAAGGAGGAGGGAGGGGGAGAAAGAGAAGGGAAAGGGAGAGCGAGAGATAGGGGAGTGGGAGAGCGAGAGGGAGAGGGAGGGGACGGAAAGAGAGGGGAGGAAGGGAAAGGGAGAATGAGGGAAAGGAATAGGGAGGAGGAGGAAAGGAGAAGGAGAATGGGGAAGGGGGGGGGGAGACACACGTGGAGACTTTTTTATTTTCCTCAAGGACGTAGTTCATTATCCTCAGACTGGATGTCACGTGATTAAAAAACGAGATTGAGATGGGGGGGGGGAGAGGGGGGACTCTCCAAATCGTTATCATGCGAAAAGAAAATTAGCTACAACATCTACAGTATTCCTCCCCATCACTTTACTTTCTTAAACCGAAAGAAATCAATACAAATATAGTATTTCTTCCTTTCGTTTCTCAATTACTCCAATTTCCACCCTATATACGGGTTGTGTAACGGCTAAGAGGAGCTACCCACGTCTTGTTCAAGCCGGCGACACCATCCTTCTCCTCGTCTTTATCTCCCCACGTTTTCACCCACACACAGTCGCCCGTTCTCTCCGCGCCGCCTTCTCAAAATAACTGAGATGATAACCTTCGCCATAAAAGTCCTGTGTTTTAAAAGCCACCTGCCGAGATATTCCCCCCCTTCGTGTGTACGTACACTGATGCTGTCTCCTGTGTCTTTCGTCTGCATCTCTGTTTATCCTGTGTTTCGTCCTCCGTTTATTGTCTTTTGTGTTTTTCGTCTTCGCTTGCCATCGGTCATTCCTTCGTATTTATTATCTGTGTCTTTCGTCTCTGTTTGATGATTGTGTCTTTCGTCTATGCATATCGTCCTTGTTTTTTCGTGCCTGCTTATCGTCTTGTGTCTTTCGTCTCTTGTTTATCGTAGGTCTTTCGTCTCTGCTTATCGTCTGTCTTTCGTCTCCATTTACCAACTGCGTCTTTCGTCCTTATTTATCGCCCTTATTTGTCTATTCATCATCGGTATCTCTCGCCTCCACCGATCACCTCTGCCTCTTTTCTCCTCCTCGCGAATCCCCCTCTTTCTCTCGAATTCCTAGATCCTACCCGCGCCGTTCCTCCCACGAAGGACCGCATACCTCCGTAATCCTTCGGGAAACAGACCCGGCCGCTCCTCGTTCGCTTTCCACGGCGCCCCGAGGATGACGTTACGTGCCTACGAGACAATCTCATGTTCGAGTCCCGCCCCCGCTGCCCCCCCCCCCCCCCCCCCCCCACCCCCCGACCCTCCCTCCTCAGATGCCCCCGATCTCCTAGCCTCCCCGGCCCTCCTCCTTTGCAGTACGACACTTTCTCCTCCTGAGGGCCATGTGAGGGCCGAGCAGCGAGGGAGTCCGAAGTCGCGAGGTCATATGTCTCGCGTCGCGGAGATTAGACAAGCCCTTAGTCGGTCTGTGCTGAGAGAGAGAGAGAGTGTGCGTGTACTCGGTCGTGTCCTCGCTTCGGTGCGCATTTCGCTGCCCCGTTTCGAAAAGCTGGTCAGCGATCGGCACTCGTGGCAGTGACCTCAGAGCCTCGTCCACCGACTGGCTAACCCTTTCCCGACGTCGCGTCACGGTGATTCACATACATTTTCCAACGTCGCGGCGTCACTGACATCGCCTGTGTCACCCGTCCGCGATCTGTGCCAAGTCTTTCGTGTGTGACGATTTTTTTTTTTTTTTTTTTTTTAGCAATCTTTGTTTCAAACGCAGGTCGATCTCCGTGCGCCAGTGTTACGTGACGTCCAGAGCCCTCCCGAGTCCGAGCGAGGCGTGCCCGTATCAGGTGGCCCCGGGAGGTTCGGGGACCAGGACATCTGCGGAGGCACCCGTCCAGCTCCTTGCCACATGCACACATTCCCTTCCCCTTGAACTGCACATTTTCACATCCATAACTGTGGTCGCTGATAATCTTCACTATTGATTGTATACAAAGTACGATAGTTCCAAATGCTGGACAGTTGACTGAATAGACATCGGGGAAAAATATAAGTTATTGTGAAGCGACGAAGAAGAGTGACAACAGTTTAGCAGAAATCCGTGGAGGAGGACTATTCACGCCCTGCGGAAACAACCGACCTTCCCTCCACAGGAACGCGCCCTCTCGCACCTCCTGCTGCCCTCCCGCCGGAACGCGTGGCCTGAGGAGTCCGTCGCCAGCGAACCATGTCTCCCTCGCGTCTCCTAACGCTCCTCCTGCTTCTCCTGCTGGTGTTCACGCTCCTTGCAGACGACTGGAGGCCGCCCGCCCGCCGCCGTCGCCGTAGGAAGCACAGGCCGGCGGGCGGCGAGGGGGCGGCGGGGGCTGTGGGCGCCAAGAGTATTCGCAGGATCAGGCACGCCTCGGGCAGGAGGGCGGAGTTCGTCAGGAGGAGGCTGAGGAAGGCCAAGATGCAGCAGGACGTCGAGGGCAACATCAGGCTCGTGACGGACGCGCGGACTACGAAGGTGAGTGGGATGCGTGTGTGTGGTGGGGGTGGGTGGGGGGGAGGTGAGCGGGATACGTGGTGAGGGAGATGAGTGGGTGGCGAATTGGCGAATGGGATACGTGGGACGGGGGGGGAGGGGGGGAACGTTGGGGGGGAAGGTGAGTGGACGTAAGTGGGACGTGTTGGGGGGGGTGTAAGTGGGACGTGTTGGGGGGGGTAAGTGGGACGTGTTGGGGGGGGGGGGCGGTAAGTGGGACGTGTGGGGGGGGAGGTAAGTAAGACGTGTAGGGGGGGCGGTGAGTGGGGCGTGTAGGGGGGAAGGAGGTGAGCGGGGGAGTGAAGTGGTTGGGAAGTGAGTGGGGCGAGGATGATGAATGATAGTGAGGGATGTGCACTCACTAGAGACGAAAAGACTGCGAGGATTGATGCCAAGAGACATCACAAAGTGGAAAATTTACTGAGAGAGAAGAGGGAGTGAGGGAAAGGGAAAGGGAGAGGGAGACAGAGACAAGACGGAGAGGAAGAGGGAGAGAGAGACAGAGAAACCGAGAGAAACAGCACGACAGACAGAGCAAAAATCAGAGACTGATCAAGACCGAGAAAAAGAAAGATAACGAGTTGAAAAAGAAAGAAATAACAACATAGAAAGAGAAAGAAAAAGAAAAAAAAAAAAAAAATAAAAGTCCCACAGTACTTTCGCCTCGCCATCGCATTACCGCCTCAGCATGCAAAAAAAAAAAAAATAAATAAATAATAAATAAATAAAATAAAAATTAAATATAACAATAATAAAGAAATAATAAAATAAACAAAATAAAAAAATAACTAAAACTGCCGCATATACCCGCCCGGGCACGTCCTGCTCGACGCTCGCTCCTTCGCCATCTGCCAGCTTGCAAGACCCTCCCCTTCATTCTCCCTCGCGAACGCCCCCGCCCGCCGCCCACACGCAAGCAGTGGGTCTGGCAGAGTGCGTGCGTCTGCGTGTCTGCGAATGTGTTATTTGTAGGCGGAGTATGTGTACGTGTGGGTGTGTATGATGCACTCATAAGATGCATGTTTGTTTTGAATATAAACATGTGTACGTACTTAACGCATATGCACATACAAAAACAAATGCAAAGATACATAAAGAAGTACACAAGTATATGCATTATGTATATATAGATATATGTAACATATATATGTATATGTGTGTGTGTGTGTGTGTGTGTGTGTGTGTGGTGTGTGGTGTTGTGTGTGTGTGTGTGTGTGTGTGTGTGTGTGTGTGTGTGTGTAGACGTGGATGAGTGAATGCATTTATGTATATAGGCATTGCACGTGCGTCTAACTGTAAATATGTATATTTTTATATATATATCAGATTATATAGTTGCACGATGCATGAAGGTACCCAATCAGACAATCAGAGAGAGAGAGAGAGAGAGAGAGAGAGAGATGAGAGAGAGAGAGAGAGAGAGAAGAGAGAGAAGAGAGAGAGAGAGAGAGGAAGAGAGAGGAGAGAGAGAGAGAGAGAGAGAGAGAGGAGAGAGAGAGAGAGAGAAGAGAGAGAGAAGGAGAGAGAGAGAGAGAAATTGAAGGGAAATGAGCGAACATGTTGTAGTGACAGAAAAAAAAAACACTGTACACAGTTTCTTTGTACGTTGTGTGTATAATTTATGTTTTCCAATTAACGATGTATATTTAATGATAAAAATGAAAATGGCCACATTGAGAATTTGTTCTCATTTTAGCAGATTGTGCCTATTTTCATTTCATTTGTGTACACGTGACTGTGTTTGTGCTTGTGTTCATATTTAATGATATTCCGTAAGAATAAATGCCGAAAGATAGATATTAAGAGTGGGACCTCGTACAGTGTGTGTGTGTGTGTGTATGTGTGTGTGTATGTGTGTGTGTGTGTATGTGTGTGTGTGTGTGTCTGTGTGTGTGGGTGTCTGTATGTTTGTTTGTGTGTGTCTGTGTGTATGTGTGAGTGTGTGTGAGTGTTTGCTTGCGTGTGTGTGTGTGTGAGTTGATAGTGAGGAGAGAGAGAGAGAGAGAGTGAGCGAGTGTAAGCATGAGTGTGCGTGTGCGTGTGCATGCATGTATGTATGCGTGCACGCAATCCTGCAGCAGGTGTGGGTAGCAACGCCTCCCTCCGCCCATCTCGGTATGGAAGGCCACCACGCCTCGTTTGGGATTCCTTACGGGCTGAGATGTGCGGCGGGGGGGGGGGGTCGAGACAAGGGAAAGGGGGATTAGGAGACAGGGGGTGGGGGGGGGCAGGGGGAGGGAGGGCAGAGGGTAGGGTTAAGGAGCAGAAGGCATGGGCATGGGTAGCAGGCAGGGGCATGGATAGAAGGCTGGGCATGGGTAGAGGCATGGGCAATGGGTAGAAGACAGGGACATGGGTAGAAGGCATGGGCATGGGTAGAAGGCATGGGCATGGGTAGAAGGCAGGGACATGGGTAGAAGGCAGGGACATGGGTAGAAGGCATGGGCAGGGGGATAGAAGGCAGAAACAGAGGGGTTATGATACAGGGGGTTGGGGAGGGGCCAAGAAGTATGAGAAAAGGCAAAGAACAGTAGTGGGTGGGATGGGAGGGGAGGGGGCAGTGGACACAGGCCTCAAAACAGGGGAAAGGGCAATGGATAGGTGGCAACAGGGGAGTCGGGGGCACGAGGAGAGGGTAGGGGAGGGGGGGAGGCAGAGGGTAGGGGGGGCGAGACAGAGGGTAGGGGAGGGGGTGAATCAGAGGGGTAGGGGAGGTGAATCAGAGGGTAGGGGAGGGGGGTGAATCAGAGTCGAGGAAGAGGGTTAGGGGGGGGCGAGGCGGGGGGAGGGGGAGGCGAGACAGAGAGTAGGGGGCGAGACAGAGTGTACGGGGGTGAGGGAGAGGGTGAATCAGAGGTAGGGGGGCGAGGCAGAGTGTAGGGGGGCGGCGAGGCAGAGTGTAGGGGGGGGCGAGGCAGAGGGTAGGGGTGCTGGGGAAGTTCCTCATAAGGACTTATTAGGAAACTGTCAGACATGAGTCACACGCAAGTCGCTGTGTGGCAGAAGGTGACGCTCGAGAGAGTCGCTGAGGGTGAGAGTGGACACCCCCCCCCCCCCGCCGTCCCGTGTGGAGCGTAGATCTTGGTTTTGAATCTAACAAAGGGATTTTGAATCTAATAAAGGGGTTTTGAATCTAATAAAGGGGTTTTGAATCTAATAAAGGGGTTTTGAATCTAATAAAGGGGTTTTGAATCTAATAAAAGGGGTTTTGAAAGTAAAGGGTTTTGAATCTAATAAAGGGGTTTCGAATCTAATAAAGGGTTTTCGAATGTAATAAAGGGGTTTTGAATCTAATAAAGGGGTTTTGAATCTAATAAAGGGGTTTTGAATCTAATAAAGGGGTTCGAATCTAATAAAGGGGTTTTGAAATCTAATAAAGGGTTTGAATCTAATAAAGGGTTTTGAATCTAATAAAACGTTTCGAATGAATAAAGGGGTTTCGAATCTATAAAGGTGTTTTTTAACCTAATAAAGAGTTTTTCGTATCTAATAAAGGGTTTTCGAATGTAATAAAGGGGTTTTTGATCTATTAAAGAGGTTTCGAATCTAATAAACGGTTCGATCTAATCGTTTCGAAACTCATTATGGATTTTCGAATCTAATAAAGGGGCTTTTCGACATTAATAAAGGGGTTTTTCGAATTATAAAGGTGTGTTTGAATCTAATAAAGAGGTTTCGAATGTAAAAAAAGAGTTTTTCGAATCTAATAAAGGGGTTTCGAATCTAAAACGGGGGTTTCAATCTAACATGGGTTTCGATCTAATAAAGGGGTTTCGAAATCTAATAAAGGTTTCGAATCTAATAAGGATTTTCGAATCTAATAAAGGGGTTTTCGAATCTAATAAAAGATTTTCGAATCTAGTAAAGAGGTTTCGAATCTAATAAAGGAATTTCGAATCTAATAAATGGGTTTCGAATATAATAAAGGATTTTCGAATCTAATAAAGGATTTTCGAATCTAATAAAAGGGTTTCGAATCTAATAAAAGGGTTTCGAAATATATTTCGAATATAAACGGGTTTTCGAATCTATTATAAAGGATTTCGAATCTAATTAAGGGGTTTCGAATCTAAATAAGACGTTTCGCTCTAATAAAGGATTTTCGATCTACTAAGGGGTTTCTAGTTCTACACAGCCATCCAATTTTGAGTTACTATTCCTTCTTTCAATTATCAACGCTGTAATATACGTGAATCTCATTACTTTTCCATCGGATAAGGTATAAATGAAAATATCGGTACGGTTTGCGAAGTGACCTTATCCCCCGGAGATGAAGTCCTTGTTCCTCCAGCCAATCCTGGGAAATCCTTATACATCATCCTATGAACCAAAAACCTTCCTGACGCGGGAGATTCCGCACCCTCCCCCCACACACACTCCAGGCCCCCATTCTATCGTGAGGGAGATTCGCACCCCCCCTCCCCCCCCTCCAGGCCCCCATTCTATTGTTAGGGGACGGATTCCATTAATTTGGGAGGTGTTTTCTCTCTGATTATCTTAGCGCCATTACAATTTCTTGTAAATGTATACTAGAGAATTGCGTAATTGCATAATTTTCTTATCAATCTGCGAAGGGTTATAATCAGAGAGGAAAAGTTTTCTTATTTTCACTGTTTCTCGAGTTTTAGTTTGTACTGCAATGGCTGTGGGAAACTGAACTACAGCATTGCGTCTTATTTAAAACACAGACACACACGCACACGCACACGCACACGCACACGCACACACACACACACACACACACACACACACACACACACACACAACACACACACACACACACACCACAAACACACACACACACACACACACACAAACACACACACACACACACACACCACACACACACACACACACACACAACACACACACACACACACACACACACACACACACACACAACCACACACACACAAACACACACACACACACACACACACACACACACACACACACACACACACCACACCACACACACGACA